AAGACTGAACTGTGTAGAAAATTTCATCGTGATCGGACTCTCCTTTCGAAAGTTATCGTGTAAACGGCCGGCCGGCCGGACATACTGACCGATTCTAGAGTGTACTCACTTTTTGAGTACACAAAAATAAGCCAATTTCCTAAATATGTACTCCCAAAAAATCATAAAAAGAAAAAAATCGGTAAAATAAATAATCATATGACTAATTCTTAATATCAACTATAATGAGAAGTTATTCGTTAATATGAATCGTGACACATCACTACGAATTACGTTCCAATATAGACATTTTCTTAATTGCCATAAAAAGCCACAATTTGTTTACCTAACCAATATAAGCAATTATTTAAATAACATAACATTATTGCACAAAAAGAAATATATGTCCTGAAGGTATGAGTGTAGTTGTGCGCGCTTGTGCGAGTGTACGTGTGACTATTTGAACACATGTTATTCACAGTTCTTCTCTCAGTCAAACCATATCCAGTTCAGTCACACCTGAATTCATACAGATATGCTTCTGGCGAAAACTATTTTTGATAAGATTTCTCTCATTTGACTAAGTTTTTTCGAATGAAGTTCATTTTAGAACTGAATTTTGCTTTCCATTATTGATTTTTCTACTAATCGTTGAAGTTTAGTCTAAAACCAACAAAAATTAACGCATTTTCTTCAGATAAATATGATCAATTCTGTTTTCAGACAATTTTCAAAACTCTTTGAATAATTGAATTTTATAGACCAAATAGTGGCGCAATTTTTGAGAAATCTTTACGAATGTTTTGATTTTTTTTGTCAAGAAAATGTGAGAACACAATCACCGACTAGCTGCAGAAAAATAATGTTTACCACATTGTGATTGACAACAGAGAAAAATAATTCTTTTAATGTCAATATGTATTTTGTCGAACAGAGAACGTCGCCTCTGACAACATTATTCAACATCAAAAATTTCAATGAAGTAAACAGTTTGTTTATTCAACTTCTTAATTATATATGTTTCTCTGGTACACAAGCTGATCGTGTTTTGTGGTTTTTTTGTTATTGAGAAAAATTGAATCTGCGACATACAAAGTATAAAACAACATGTTTTTTTTTATGCCCTTGATTTTTTTTAAAAGCTTCAAAGGTATTTGAGATTTTCTGTTAATCATACAAAATCCTTTGAACATATCAATTAATTAGTTTTTGTGACCAAAACCGATTCATTTATGTATAATTTTAACACTGAAAAGCGTCAAGGGAGTGAATTTCAAATACAAATAGTAACAATAACAATAATAATAATAATGATGATGATGATAATATCAAGGT